AGTCAGAATACAGAAACAAAGGGACAGAAAGAGATGGAAAGATTCAATGCTTCCGCTTTGAAGGATGAAAGAGGGGTTCGTAAGCCAAAGGCCATAGGAAACTGTAGAAGTTAGAAGGGTTTAAAAAACAGATTCTCCCCTATAGTTTCAGAAGGGGTATAGTCCCAATCCAGAGTTCCTGAGTTTAGATTTCTGGCTCACAGAGCTGTCATCATTCTGAGTTATTTTAAATCACCGTATTTGTGGTAGTTTGTTACAGCAGGCACAGAAAACCAATGCATCCTTAACAAAAATGGGGGGATGTGGTGTTTGTTCCAGAATGAATAGGCAGGAGTTCCAACTCTGCCCTCCAGAGTTGACACTTTTACCCACTCTGCCTTATTACTTTGTCCACGTTGCCTGGCACACAGAGGTTTGCCACCGAATGTGAGAAAGCACCTTGAAGAAAACAGAACAAGCATTCTGCAGCAGGCATTTTGCAGAGCACACATCTTCACAGCTCTGGCATCTGTGGTAATTTGTGCAATAGCAAATCAGAACCAAAATAGCTACAGCAATATAAATACAGTTTAAGAAGTCTCTGTACTTTAAAGGCTGAACTTCAAGCAACAGCAGACTTACAGACTGATGATTCTCTGTAATTAGTGCATCAGTTTTGATACAAGGAGGGAAAGATCAGCATGAGACTTGCAAAGAGTCAGAAGGCGGCATAGAGCCAGACAAAAGCCAAGAAGGCACCAGAGGAAGATAAAAGTTACAAACACTATGCCAAGTATTTTCAGATGAGATTTCTTTACCCCCTTGCAGTTTTAGTAACCAAGACTTATGCAATAGTTCAATCTGGTATTAGTCTAAACTAATTATTCAGTCCCACTGCATCTTGTGGTTTATAAAATAGCTTCTAGTGGTCCTTCAACAGGGTCACATATAAAATAGCACTCCTGGGGAAGGACAGGAACAAGGAAACTGTGGAGAGATCAGTCTCATTGAAGCCATCAACTAAACTGGGAGCTCTTGTATCATTTTCTACTAACATCCAGGTTCTAAATGCACATTTAAAAGCTGTTTACTTGCTTGCATTGCTGAGGATCAAAACTCAAGACTTCATACATGCAAGACAAGTACTCTATCACTGAGAAACCTCCCCGGCTCTAAGGTCTATGTTTCTGTTTGTTTGTTTTGTTTTTGTTTGGGGGGCCACACCTGGCAGTGCTCACGGGACTATATGGGTGTCGAGAATCAAACCCAGGTTGATGTCTACAAGACAAACACCTTACCTGCTATATTATCTCTCTGGTCCCTAGAATATCTGTTTATAAAAGTAAAGAGTCCATGAGATGAATAGGGCTAATTTATCCTGGACTGATTTGGCTCTAGAGAAAACGACTCCATAGTCCTATCTCTGAAATATTGCAATGTGCAGCCATGGAATCTCCATTAAAAAATGCAGGAGCAAGGAAAAAAATAGTACTTCTTCCACAGTACTCCTTCCATCCAAACTTCCACTTCACTAATTACTACACACATAAGAGTGCTTGAATCTTGGATAATTCCTCTTTGTAATTTTTACCAGAAAACTTGTGAACTTTAAGCATGAGAGGGCAGGCTGGGTTGGGGGAAGAGGAAGAACTAAAGGAATTAGCATTGAACTTCAAAGAGCTTTTTTTCATGATTAGAGAATCCTCATTTGATTACATAACATAAAAGCAGTGAACTATTTAACCTTCCCATCTGCTATGGGTGAGAAGAATTATGCGTGAACCTCGAGACCGCGTATCATGTCTAGACCCTTTTTAAAGTCAAAAAGAAGGAAATATGCTAGACCATGATTTTTTTTTTATTAGTGAGACATCATGAGGTACAGCTGCAGACTTACAAATTTTTGTGCTTGGGTTTCAATTATACAATGATCTTTTGCACTGAACTCTTGCATACTGTTGGCATACATGCAAAGGGTTTAAATTGAACCCTTTACAGAACAATGTGCATATTGATTGGCAAACCTTTTAACTGACCTGTCCCTCCTAAGGAACAGTAATAAGCTCCTTTGGGAAAAAGGAAAGGAAAAATAGATATATCACTTTGAGGAAACCAATAAATGTGTGAAAAATTGGATTTGCAAGCAGGTACAGGAAGAGAATAATTACTCCATTTCTTTTCACTTTATTAAAGATGCCCACAAAGATTCATTTAATGGTGAGTTCCTCTATCATATTTTAAAATATTCAATTTACATACATTTGATTTATTATAACTGATCAGTAGGATGGAAAAACAACTTACCATTTCCCAACCACTTCATGGTAGGCACTTTACATGCTTTGCACTATTCAATTAACAGAAAGTCCAGGAAAGTAAAGGTACATCTTCTATAATCTGATTCACAGATGGTAGAGAGAGGTAACTCTCTCCAGTTGATTGATAAGGAAACTGAAGCTCAGAAATAATCTGACCAAATTCACCGTCCAAGGTAAAGGTACATCTCCCTCACTCTCCCTCCATCCAGAGTTTCTCTGTGGAACTACATATTGAATCATTCCTGATACAAAGTATCCTTAAAACCAAATAATTTCAGCAGGCCTTCAAACAATGTCTGCTTCTAAATAAAGAGCCCATTCTGAGAGCTTCATCAGAGGAAATCAAGATCCTAATATAAGTGTAATTCCCCCCCAAAATCAAAGCACATTATTTAGATGTGATTAAATGGCTGATGGGGTATGCCTGAGGAAGAAAATGTCCTTATTTCATGAAGGGTAAGATACTTCTCAGAACCTGACCAAACAGTTCCAAAATTGATCCAAAGGAAAATTAAAGGACAAAAAACTAAGATACATGAAAGAGAAAAAAGCAATAGGTGTGGATGGTAAAAATTAGTTATAAACATGGTATCTTACAATAAACTAGAAAAAAAGAGCAAAATCTCAGGCTCAATATCTTGAGAATTCTAGCATTTAAAAATAAGATTTCTTTCACTGTATATATTATATTAATCTATAATTGTTTAAATACAACAACTTCACCTATATACCAAAAAATTCAAGATTATTAATTTTCATAATTTGTAAACTATAAACTAAAACTTTTAGAAAATAGAAGAATTTCCCCCTAAAGTGGAGAAGTCATATTTAACATAGAGAATTACAAAGAAAATATAAAAAAAAGAATAAGTTTAACTATTTAACTTCTTTATTTTAAAAGAAACTATTTTAAAAATGTAAAAACAAATAAGTTGAGGAAAATTTAACAATATGACAAAGTACCGAAATGAAAAAATAAAAAAACTTTTAGAAATCAGTAGAATAAAAGAGGAGTACTACAAGAATGGGTAACAGATGTAGCTGGACTTATTCAAAGACTTTTTAATTAGAAAGGAAAAGAATGGCTATGACTTAAAGGTACATAACTGATCCTCAACAAGCAGACAAGACTCAGAAGCTATAACAACCAGCCCATGACCAGTACTTCACTTACTAAGCTGGTCTTTGGAAAATATGTAACTGCAGAAAGCCATATCAAAAACAGAAACAAAATCCTAGCAACCCTGGAAAAGACTGATTACGTCGGACTTATCATTCCATATCTTTAGTGCCTCTTAGGATAACAAAAAACAAACTAAAAGACTCAGCAACAGTAAAGTCTCATGCACCTCCTTTGCAGTATGAGAAAACAAGGGAAGGAAGCTGCTTTCCAGGGCATCCTTGGAACACATCTTCTTCCCAACCTGAAGATGATGTTCCTTCTACCCAAATGTTGATTGCTTCTCAATAAGACATGACATTACAAATATCCCATCCTCTCAAATGTCAAAAAAATAATAATGAAGAAAAACAAGGTAAAATTCCTCATGCTTTGTCGGAAGAGATTTTATAATGCCAGTAAGGATTTCCCTTTCAACATGTTAAATTGCTGCTTAGACCTCTCTCTCTCTCTCTCTCTCTCTCTCTCTCTCTCTCTCTCTCTTTCTCTCTCTCTCTCTCTCTCTCTCTCCTCATTTTAATTTACTGGGGAGGCACACCCGGCAGAGCTCAAGGCTTACTGGCCTCATGCTCAGGGATCATTCCTAGTGGTGCTCTGCGGACCTTTTGGTAATGGCTTTGCTCATATGAATTCCCTTCTCTGCTAAACTGCTCAAAGAATCAAGTGAAGTGATAGGCAGAATCAGCAGAATGTGTCTCTGTGATACCATGATTTTCATGAACCCAACCCTCATGTCCCACAGCCAATCCATGTTCCCATTTATACTGAGGCTCTGTCTTCTTAAGCCTTTCAGCGTACAGTCCAGATCGAGTAGCCAGACATGAGGGTACAAAACCTTTCTTGGTCCCTATACATGCCCTCTGAACCCTCCTCTACAGGCCAGTGGACATTCCTGAATGCATGTCTTTGAGCACAGCTGCTTTCATTACTGGCAGTACTTTACTAAGAATTTCATTGAATAATGTAGTGCTGTGTCGAGAAACATCACTAGACTGGTTGTTTGTGGAGGAGTAGAATTCATGAATAATTACATAACTTAATGTTTTCATTACTCAGGGGATGACTGCTTTACTGTCACTGTATTCTTAACTATTTGATTATGGAATTTTAAAATTTATTGTTGGCTATAAATGGCTAGAGCCATAGCATAGTGGGTAGAGCATTTGCTTTGCACGCAGCCGACCCAGGTTTGATTCCTCTGTCTCTCTCTCTCTCTGTCTCTCTCTCTCTGTCTCTCTCTCTCTCTCTGTGAGTGTGTGTGTGTGTGTGTCCTGTGCATGTACACAGCCTCATGTACACATAAACACACAGACTGCTAGCCCATGTTAGTCCGTGTTGTGCATGGGGCCGTGAGGTGTCATCAGGTAAGGCCTGGCTGCCCTCCTCCCCATACTGGAAGATCTCAAAGCCGCCTACTGGACTCTGCAGGGAGGCACAACTACAGGGTTTGCTGAACTTGGAATGCCAACAGCTTCCAACCACATTCTCTGAGGGATACACTCCCTCTGGAGGCATGCACTCACCATCCGCCGTGTGGAGGAGCTTGTGACTTTTCAATGTTCCTTTTGATTTAAATTTCTTGCCACACATGTCACACAGGTGTGTTTTCTCAGTGCTGTGACGATTCATATGCGCCTTAAGGTTACTCTTGCTACGAGTGGCATACTCACACAAAGAACATTTGAAGGGCTTCACACCTACCGGAAGAGGGTAAAAACAAAGAGATTTGTATCATACGTCTGCATTAGAAGGGACGTACAAATAGATAAACAGATCATCTTCATATTCATGCTCACTTGGAATAAAGTACCATGTGAGCCTATTCCTAAAATGGGCACAAGTTCCCATGCTGTCCTCCTACCCACACTTTTCCTTCAAACAGGGACACCCTTCCTGCCTATTCCGCCAGGTGCTCCATGCTCCTACATTTTTTTTTATATTTTTTATTAGTGAATCACCGTGAGGTACTGTTACATACTTACAAACTTTCGTGTTTGTGTTTCAGTCATACAATGATCGGTTACTCATCCCTCCACCAGTACCCATTCTCCACCACCAATGATCTCAGAATCCCTCCTCCCCCCCCCCCCCCCCCGCCTCTGTGGCAGGGCATTCCCTTTTGTTCTCTCTCTCCTTTTGGGTATTGTGGTTTGCAATAGAGGTATCAAGTGGCCATCGTGTTCAGTCTATAGTCTATTTTCGGTAGCTCCCAACCCAAGCGAGTCCTCCCAGCACCCTTTACTTGGTGTTCCCTTCTCTGTCTGAGGCTGCCTTTTTCTCCAGCATGTGAGCCAGCTTCCAAGCGGTGCATGATCCCACATTCTTGGACCAGGCGCCCACCCTGGACTCTAGCCAGATGACCCTTATTACTGCTCAATGTGCCCAAATCCTGCCACTGTCCACTTGCTGTCTGCTCAGAGCACATTTGAGTGAAGCAAACATACCTATTTCACCCTAAAGACTTGAATTCTGCTGGCAGGACCCTGAACAGTTCTCATATGAAAAGTTCATTAAATTATATGACGAGGAAGAAAACAAAATAAAATTAAAGAAACCAAGGGCCTTTGCAAATATTAATGGGATCAGACGCCCCCCCCCCCCCCCGGATCATATATTGAAGAATGTTTTACTACACAAATAAGAAAAATTTTACAAAAGTTTCTGGGCTAGTGGCTCAGATTCTAGGACTATTCTTGCTACTCTGATCATTAAACCAATATCTGCTGCAGATTATAGACACTGAGAGTCAGTCCTGGGGTTGAGATGTCTTAACCCCTGGCTTCGCTGTCCAGAGAGAAATGCAGACAAACAGAGAGGACATATAACCAAGCAATGTACCATGTTATTACAATGGTTGGCTGGGGGGCATGAGGGAGGAGGGGCAAGGCAGTAATGGATGCATAGCAGGAAGTCCAGCATTTCTACATCCTTACCTCTATACTACCTCTATACTACCTACTATGACTCTGCAGATAGGAAATGGGGTTCTAATGGGGCTGCAGGATGTCCTGGGCGCAAAATGCTGCTGTGCAGGCAAGCTAGTAAAGAAGAATGCATCTTTAAATGATGGTCTGGATCTTAGCCCTCTGCCTTGTCAGGCTCCTGCTCCATCAGTTCCTGTGCTCTTTTCCTCTCCTTAACCTGGGATGGAAAGTCAGCCATTTTCATCTCCTACGGTAGAGTAGATTTCCTAATTCTTTATCCTCCCTTCAAGAAGCCTGCATTCTCAGTTCCTAACCACAAGTAAGAGAGTCATGTCCTTATCTCGTGGGAATAAAGGACATTGGTAGCCAGCTGTCTCTAACGGGAGCCAACCTTGGTTCCCAGTGCCCTAGAGTGAATTTCTCCAACATCCCTACAGAGGTAAGCACCCCAAAAGCACAGCCTACATTCTTCTCCCACTACTTCACGTTCATGCTACTCTTCTGACTCCTCCTTCACAATAATGGATGATAGGACTATGCTGTCCTTCACATCTTCATTTATTCATTCATTCATCATATAAACACTATGCATGCACACTACCCTGGGGCAGGCACTGGAAAGATTGCATGGACAAAGAAATGCTCTCTCTTACTCTTCTCCTCCAACTTGCTCCCAGGACACAAGTCACAGGGATTTTACTGAAATGCAGTTGCACAAACACTACAGATTGCATACCTTTAATCACTGCAGTTGCAACGAAATAAGTTATGATTTCGATCACTGTTCTGAGCTGGTTGATATACACTTTTTATTTTCAATATGCTAAAGAAAGTCTAACTGTGGGGGACAGGAAGAGGAGGCTTTCTCTGAATATAAAGCATGGAAACATAAAATTAAAAAGATGCTCCATTTTGAAAAGTGAGTTCTTACCTTCATGAGCCCAAATGTGACGTTGAAGGTCTGAACCATTCTTCATGAAGTAGAAATCACAATATGGGCATTTCATGGCTCTCTTCCCAATCAGCCCTTTCAACTGAACCCTCCTACCGAGAACCTCAGAAATGGTACTCATGGAGACCTCTAGAAGAAAAGCAGGGAAATAATCAGAAGCAGTCAAAAAACACCAGTTCAGATTAGATTCAAATGATTCCCATGGTGACACCTGGACTCACTGGTCAATCTTAGCAACGCCGAGGTGGCAGATTGAGAGGTGACATGTAATAGGATTTTTTGCCTAAAAAGCCAGAATCTAACTAAGACTCAGGTCTAAGTATCTGTTAACATAAAATATGACTACTGAAAAAACAACACCACAAAGCAACAATTAGAAAATGGAGACTGTAAAGCTGTCAGCAGGAAAAGTGATTTTTTTTTTTAACAAAATGATTTTCTTGTCATTGGGGGGAAAAACCGGACTCAGGTTATTCTGTAGAATACAAGAAACCTAAGTGACATAACGGAAATAAAAATGTTTGGGTCTTCATTAAAACAAATAAACTGTAAGAAAAAATCCTGTGTCAATGAGAGAAATTTAAATGTATATAAAAGCAGGTGATAATAAGAAATTAATATTAATTAATATTAATATTAATTGTTTGCTTTAATGGTTCCATTGTAGTTTTGCAGGAAAAAGATTCTTTCAGTTGGAGATGCAGTCTAAATTTTTTCAAATGGGTAACTTTCATAATTTTAGTTTCTATTTCTAAATATTCTCAAAAAAAGGTTCAGGGAAAGGGAGGTATCACGTGTGAAACAAGACTGACAATAGTAGGTAATCGATGTAGCCAAGTTACAGGTAAACGTCAATTCTTTATTTTTTTTAATATATATTTGTAATTTTCCTTAGTAAAAAGTTAAAATCTTTACATCTACTCACAAGCAAAACTTGGCTAGTTTAAGTGAATATCATCAGCTCACATTGGATTACATGGGACATGATTTCACTTAGGAAGGCCACTGGATTGTCAAAAACTAAACATATAACACAAGCAAAATAATCTACGTGTTCCCACACATTTGAAGGTGTCAAGGCTTCATCCATTCACAGATAAAACACAAGTGTTTTAGCACATGTGACTTCTTTACTTTTCTTCATTACCATTTAATTCCCTAACGATCATAAGTTAAAAATACACAGAGAAAGAGGCAGGAGAATATGAACTGTTAGGGACCAGTATCCGAAAGACCACACAAAGCAATGAGCTTTGTAGTATAAAGTTTTATTAGGCACAAGTCAAGCAAGTCTTGAGTTCAGAAAGCTGAGAACGCTGACCGATCAGAGCCATTCCCTCTAGTAGGAGGGTGATCCACTCTTTGATCTCATACCCTTTTTATGCCTGATTTCTGCAAGTTGCCCAATTCTTGGTCTAGCTAACTTCTTGGTGATCTTTTACTTGACTGGCTGCATCCAGTTGGCTTGTTTTGAGCAAGTCCGATGTCAAACTCCTATTGGTTGTTATCATCATGGGGTTCACGTCTCATCTCTCTCCAAGAACTGACTGACCGCAGGTTTCCCCATCCTGCTGTGGGTTTCTAGCTAATTCTGTAATCCTGAGATATGCCTCAAGGCCACAGTCATGGCTGTACAAATTTTTATACTAGCAAGCTTTGGGTGCAGAACAGCTGCCACTTTAAAATGGTGGTACTTATGCTATGCCAAATAATACCCATTTTCTCTGGCAATAGAGGGAAGGGTCCCACAGAACAAGCGGAGTGGTGCACTTATTATCTGTTGCTCATTCACACAACACATGTGGCCTGGACATGTACTGAGGTCTGGAAACTTGGTTCCTGCCAGGTGTGGCTCTGGGTGTATAGAGGTATAGAGCAAATGTGGGAGTCCCGCCTTTAGGATTTCATGAGGTGCTGCAGAGCCGATGGGTAAGTTCATTAAGACCCATGGCTAGGAGAGGCCCGTCTCCAAAGGTAGGACTCTGAGAAAAAAATTTAAAAGAATAAACCAGAATTAACCAGGAGGAAAGGAACTGTGTCTCAGATAGTGTGAAAAGTATTGCAGCATGAATGCCCAAGCAGTTCACACATTCCAATAGTGTGGGGTGTTAAGGAGACCAAAGAGGACTGTCATTGCAACTCACTGAGATTCCTCAGTTCACAGGAAACCCACAGCCCACATTCTCTCCCCATAAGCAATCACTCTGACAACACAAGCTTAGGTAAGGGATTGGGCGTGGGCACCTGGGGCAGTGGGGTCAGACCTGCCCTCTCAGTAACCCCTAAAGGTTTTCGAAGTTGTCATGAAACAAAGGCCAACTATCAGAGGAAGCAAGGTAGGATGGAAGGAAACCTAGTGCAAAATCCATCACCATAGTCTAAAATGCATGGTCTTACCAGGATGGTTGGTCTTGATGTGTGACTTTATCAATCGATCTTCTGAAAAAGATTTTTCACACACAGGACAAGAATAACTCCTTTTGTCCTTAATAGAAAGAAAGATCAATTACTTTACCATTTTATTTCAACCAGAAGCTAGAGAGAATTAACCGCCATCCTGACCACCACCACCACCATCACCACCACTATCACACCACCACCACCACCACAACTACCACAACCATCAAAGCCAGATGCTATATAACACAACCAGCATTTGTTCATACACAACTCAGGGAGCTCAAGTATAATATGGAAATGGTGTCAGCTCCATTTCAAAAAAAGGAAGGATGGAGTTTAGAGATATGAGTCTTCGAGAGTGGCTGGACCTGAAGAGGGAAAAGTTTCAGCCTCAGGATCTACCACACAGACCAATAAATACTCTTCCCCAACCCAATGTTCCAGTATGATCTGTATGAGGGTCTCACAAAAGTTCTGTTATTGAGACTGGTGGCCACTCTGACAACAGGTATTAGTATACTCACATTACAGATTAGAAAGCTGAAGCCAAAAATGACAAGTCTGAGGTCTGACAGGAAGAGCGAGAGTTGGAACCTAAGAATGCAAGTGTCTGCCCTGGGCTCCTTGCCTACTACAGGGCCCATATCTACGTTCATTCTGCACTGGCTTCTTCAACCTGAGTTGAAATGGAACTACATTTTCAGTTAAAGATAAGTTCTTATGAAGCATCAAGCTATGGCTTTTACTTATCTATTTTTACTCTCAGTGTTTATTTACATTAGGGCTACTTCACACAGTCACTGTCACTGTCCTCCGATTGTTCATCAGTTTGCTCAAGTGGTCCCAGTAATGTCTCCATTGTGAGACTTGTTACTGTGTTTGGCATATCAAATATGTCACGGGTAGCTTGTCAGGCTTTGCCATACGGGCGAGATACTCTCGGTAGCTTGCTGGGCTCTCCAAGAGGGGCGGAGGAAATGAACTGGGGTCGGCCGTGTGCAAGGCAAGCACCCTACCTGTTATGCTATCACTCCAGCCTGAAGAGATTTAAAAAAAAAAAAAAAAGAAAGAAAGAAAAAGAAAAACTTTAACATAAAAAGCATAAAGTATACTTCCACTTTCTAGTCCAGCATGTAAGAAGCATTTAAGTCTCCGATCCATCTTAACAACAAGAAAAACTGAAGAAACTGAAAAACCAAACATTATTCTTAAATTGGAATAGGTATGAGGTCCCAAGAAAGGCACTGTACCCCAAATTAGAGCCATAAATAGGTGAAATTAGAGAATGATAACTTACTGCAGCAAATTCCTATCTAAGGTGTAAATAATAAAAACAAAACAGAATTATAGTGAATTGTGGGCAACAGTAAAAGTTAAAAGTAACAGCGAGGGCTGGCAAGACCCTTCCATTGTATGCAGTCAACCCAGGCTTAGTCCCCGACACTGCAAATGATCCCCCAAATCCAGCCAGGAGTGATCCTTGAGCAAAAGCCAGGAGTATCCCTGAGAACAGCCAAGTGTGCCCCAAATATCAAATAATACTAACAATTACAATAAAGACAGGGAGGTCCACTCATATGGAGAACCTCCAAGCTTCTGTTATGATCTACCTCCAGGAGCTCAACCTTGCTCTCACAGTTAATATCAGACACCAAATAACAGATCCAAAAGCCAGAACACCAAGGAGCATAAATTCCAAAATAACTCACTTAAAACTATAGAAAGTCAAAGATAAAATGAAAGACACAAGGAAAAAGCACCTTTCCACTCAGGAAGCAGATAAAAATTACAACCAATTTATAAATGACTGCAAGAAGAGTGGCCAAAAAAAAGAAAATATATGTAAAAGTGTGGAAAGAAAACCCACCAACTTAAAATTCTCTGTACTGAAAAGTCATCTTAAATAAGGACCTTCTTAGACAATCAAATAGAGAGAATCTGTCAATAGGTCAACTGGAAAAACATGCTAAAAGAAGTTCAATTACCTATGTAATAGACAATTACGTAGATCAGAAACTCATCCAGTACGAAACGTTGTTATTATTAGTTGGTGCTTATGGCCCACTTGGCTGTGCTCAGAGATTGTTCCTGGCTCTTTCTCAGGGATCACTCCTGGCTGGATTTGGGGGATCATTTGTGGTATCAGGGACTGGGCTTGGGTTGACTCATACAATGGAAGGGTCTTGCCAATTTGTACTATCAACCCAGTCCCTCATAAGTAAAGTATTTATGAGACAAACTACAAAATTCTTATTAAATGTATGAAAGAAGAACAACATAAGTACAAAGCTATTCCATGTTCATGGATAGAAAGACACTAAAAGGATATCAGTTCTTCACAATTTTCTCTATACATTCATAGCAATCAAAATAAAAATTCCAGAAAGTTATTTTCAGATATTGATGAACTGATTGTGATGTGTATATGGAGAGGCAAAAGGCTCAGAAAAAAATAGAATTGATATTACTCAACTTTTGGACTTGCTATATAATTATTCTGTGCTATCTCTGTGTAAAACTCCAAAAGCTTCTTTATGATACACTGCATATAGTGTCATCTGATAGAATAGAAAAATAGGAAAATCAAACAGAAAAAGTCCCAGAAAAAATACAACCACCTGAACAGTCTAATAATCCTTGGCACAGGAGCAAAGGATATAAAATAGAACAAAGATCTTCTCAACAGCAAGAAGTCCTAGTAAAACTGAATAATCACGGGCCAAAAGAGAATAATCTACATCCTTCTCAATAATTAATTCAAGATTAATCAGAAATGTAAAATGCAAAGGTCATAAAACTCTGAGGTAACACTGGAGAAACATCTAGATAACCTTAAATATAATCACGTTTTGAAACGATACCAAAGGCACTCCCAATGAAAGACACTATTGATGAATGATGTTTCATTAAAATTCCCTGCTCTATGAAAGAAGACTGTCAAGAAAATGGGAAGTACAAGACACAAAAGAGGAGAAAATATTTGCAAAAATATAACAAAGTACCCTTATCCAAAACAATACAGGTAAACAATAAGAAAATACCCAATTAAAATATGAGTCAAATACCTAAATAGATACTGCTATAAAAAATAAAGAAATGCCAATTAAGTATATAAAAAGATAGTACATGGAATTTTCCATCAGAGAAATGTAATTTAAAACAATGAGATACACATGCACAATTTGAATGGTCCAAATTCAGAATACTGATAATACAAATGTTAGCAAGAATGTCGAACAGTACAAACACTCATTCATTGCTTGATGGTAATACAGCAATGTATTTTTTTGAGTTTTCATTTTTATTATTCTGGTTTTGGGGCAACACCCAGAGGTGTTCTGGGCTTACTCCTTGCTTTCTTTTCAGGGATCACTCTTGGCGGGACTGGATGATATGGGGTGCTGGGGAATTGAATCTGGGTCAGCTGCAAGAAGGCAAGCTCTCTACCTCACTCTAGTACTATCGCTCTCTACCTCACTCTAGTACTATCTCTCTAACCCCAGAATGCAGGTACTTTGGGAGACATGTTGGCAATATTCCATAAAATTGAACAAATTCTTACCATATGATTGCAACTTTGCTAAAGATCTGAACACAGGGTCACACAAAACTTTACACACATGGGGTCTAGGACATAGCTGAAGTGGTAAAATATATGTGTTGCATGTACAAGGCTCTGGTGCCTTTCAGGGAAAGCACCTACAACTAACAACAGCAATAACAGATGCCTGCACACAAACATTTACAGTGACTTTATTCATAAATCCCAAACTTGGAAATAGCCGAGAGTTTCTCCAGTAGGGGAATAAATAGTGCTTACCCTCCAGCCCCCACAAAGCCACAACAAAACAAAAACAATGACATTTAATTTGGTATTTAAATGGTATGAGCTATCAAACTATTAAAAGCTGTGAGCGAAACTTTAAAAGCATAACGTAAAATGATGGATGTCCATCTGCATATGATATGAATACACAGGTAACATTCTAGGAAAGGCAAAATTATAGAGATGGTGAAGTATCTGTTCACCTTTCAAGGGATGGGGGGAAGAGTGTGATGAATAGGCAGAGCAAGCAGGAATTTCTGCGCAGTGAAACTACTGTGAATAATCATCACCCATTATTCCAAACTTTTCTACATCACAAGTATAAGAATAAAACAGAAAGAGTGAACGCTAATGTAAACCACGGACACAAGTGATAATAAAGTGCTAGGCCAGTTGGTCAGTTGAAAACATAGGTATCACTGTAGTGAAACATATGATCAGAAGGAGAGTTTGTTGCTATTTAGATTCAGGCAGTATAGGGAGAAACTTTCATTTCTGCTTGGCTTTACTGTGGCCCAGAATCAGTTCTTTAAAATAAAGTTCATTTCACAAGCATAAACATAATGAAGTACTCGGAACTGTCATGTCTATAGTGTGTGCTCTCTAAAGTGAAGTGCTTTGAAGCAGGCCATGGTTTTAGTCCTAGAAAACAGTCCGCTGGTGACTGACATACGTCCTGGAAATCTCCAAAGGAGAATCTGAATAAGCATTCCTCCACACACCTTAGTGGATTAGTTGTTGGTATTGCAGAACACGGGTGAGTTCCTGAAACCAACTGAGACCAATGTTCCAGGGAACATACTTAGGAAAAGTTTACTTTATATTAAAAACCAAAAACTTAACAAAAGTAAGTCCCCCTGAACAGTCAGATGCATTCCCTACCAAATATCTGGGTCGCCAGATACGCCTACAAAGCTGGAGTGCCCAAGTGGTCAGGCAACAATCCTTCAACTGTCCAAATCTTTCTTGTTGCTATTGTTTTGGGACCACACCCTGCAGTACTCTGGATTTACTCCTGGCTCTGTGCTCAAGGACCACTTCTGGAGGGATTTGGGGGACTTATGAGGAGCCATGGATCGAACCTGGGTTGGTCATGTGCAAGGCAAATGCCCTGTCCAGTGTACTATCTCTCTAGTCTGTCTCAAGTTTTTATTTTTTAAAAATTTTTATTTATTTATTTGCTTTTTGGGTCACACCCGGCGATGCTCAGCGGTTCCTCCTGGCTCTTCACTCAGGAATTATTCTGGGCGGTGCTCGGGGGACCATGTGGGATGCTGGGAATCGAACGAACCAGGTCAGTCACGTACAAGGCAAACACCCTACCCACTGTGCTCTCGCTCCAGGCCCTGTCCTAAGTTATTAAACCAGTCAGTGCCAAACTTCCTGAACCATAGCAAGGATTCAAAGATTCTCAGTACACTCCTGTCATTTTCCTTCTCTGCTCCTGACCCTTCTTAGTTACTTCATCTTTCTCAAACCCACACCAGGGTTCTGTGCGGGCTGCCACTGTGGAGAAGGTGTGTGACCATCCCTAGTGGCCTTTCAGGAATCTTCATCAATCAGAGCTCTAGGGGCTCAAAGGGCTTTGAAGGAGTTTAGGGTGATCTCTCCTGAGCCCTTGGTATTTGATTTCTTTTTTTTTCTTTTAATCTCTGAGAGTCTGATAGCAATTTATCTTAGAGGTTATCCAGACCCCTCATTTCTTGATGCCTTTGAAGACCGATAGAAGGACAGAGGCGGTGAGAAAAGGGCTGGAAGAAGTTTGGACTCTTAGGACTCATTTGCTGTTTCTTCTTGTTTTTTTTTTTTTTTTTCTTACAAAGCTCAGTTCCATGGCAGAGATCAAAACTCAACAGGCACCTCAAACTTAAAAAGAACAGTGATTAAAAGAGTTCTGGCAGGAGCTCAGTGAGAGACACACAGCACAAAGCTGGTGAAAAGAGCCCAACCCTCAGAATTTGTTTGTTCTAATGGAAATTCCCTTCAAAGCTTATCAGGAGCCTTTGAAAGAATGTGGTGTCAGCAGGAGGCTGCCAGCTGGCCAGTCATGTCATGGGGTGCAGAGAATAGTCCTGGGTGGAGGATGTGGTTCAGCCCTAGTTCTGGGAGGCCCTGACTATCCCTATGCTGGACAGTTTTCAGGTCTGACAAGAGCACTGGATAGAGCATATCAAGTGGACAGCTCCCACTATATGTTAACTGTAACACATTAAGTATACCTAGAAGTTACACGTATAATATATACATCTATTTGGCATCAAGTTGAGGAAATAAGATGGGGCATTACTCTCTGAAGAACTTGTCAGGAACCAAAAGGGTTAGGTTATCTGCAGTCCTCTATGGAGATTCTTTTATTCCTCAAATCTTCCAAAACCCTTTACGTGAAGACAAAGGTATGAGACAAGGACTGGGCTGGAGAGAAAGTAAAGGGGTAAGGTATGTACCTTACGTGCAACCAACCCTGGTTTGATCCCTGGCACTACACAGGGTCCCCTGACCAACATCAGGAATCATTCCTGGGCACTGAATTAAGAACATCCCCTGACTACTGATGGGTCTGACCCCCAATCCCAATCATCCTCTCTCCAGAAAATGACAAGTGCCAACACATAAATCATGACAGTCACTGCAAGACAATGCAGAGAGAGAGAGCAGAGAAAACAGGAAAGGGAACACTTAGACTGTGATTGGTTAGAACAAATTGGAAGAGCCAGAAATGTTACTTCCTTTTCTCTAAAAGCAGTTCTGTTCTGCCAAGTCATTCCCTCTCAGTTCAGAACCTAGTCTTGCTAGCATGAAGCTGTTTTATACACAGCAAGCTCTCTGGCACTGTGGCCAAATAGGACAACATAGAACCAAACTGGATCAAATCAGAAAAGAGCAAAATCTCACAGCTATTGAAAAGGATAGATCCATTTGTGTTGATCTATTTTAAAACTCCTTAGTTTAACACTGCATGGAAATCTTTTTTGGAAAAAAAAAAAAAAGGCTGATTTAAATGTGAGAGTCCAATTCACTTTCACTCTGGCTGGTCTCATCAATCTGGTTCACAGGTAAAGAAAACAAGCTTCATGCTGACTCCAGACCTCACATAGGTTAGAACAGTATCATCTCTTGAACCCAGCTTTCCTGGCTAAAATTCTCAGCTGTACAATAACATCCATGACAAAGCATATTCACACCCTGAGGTTGGAGAGTCACCTCCATTCTCAGAATGCAAGATGCAATTTCACTCCATTATCATGTGAATGTGTGTGAGTACACAACTGACCCTGAACATCATGGATTTGAACACTACATGTCCAGATAGGATGATTTTTTAAAAAAAAAATTGGCCCTCTAAATTCAAGGCTTCCACATTCAACAATGCAACCAACTTCAATGGTTGAATCCACAGATGCCAAACCCATGGGCACAAAGGGCTACTTATAGGAATTTGAGTATATATGAATTTTGGCACCCATGAGAATGAAGGAATCCTGAAATCTGTCTTCCATGAGTCTACCAGATGTCTATAGCTACGTTCCAGGAAAAGTAAAAGTAACATTATGATGTTCCCTCTCCACCCCCCCCGCCATTATCTGCAGTCAAACTCAGGACTCACATGTGTAAAGTATGAGCTGTATCCCCAGCATGCACATAATTTTTCAACTTGCAGGGGTCAGTGCTCCTAATTCCCATAATGTCCCAGGGTAAACCATGTGTGTGTGTTCTTATTTAAGACTTTGAATCTAGAGATAAAAGTGCATTAGTGATTGCTTGAGGCTCAGAAAGAGGAAAACAAGTAATATGGGTTATGAAGCACCTCTCTTCACTGTCAACATTTCGTTGGTATCACTAACTTCATTTAAAAAAATTATAGGTGTAAAAGATGCTGGAAATCTGTTTTCATTGACGATGCTATCTCACTACACTGGTGATAAACCACACTCACTTTATGAAAAAAAAAAAAAAAGCTTCATTCGATATCCTGGTATATATAGGAAAGCCTTACTTTGGTTTGTGCCTCCCTTAGTCTACCTGGACATTCCTCCTTTCATTTTTTCTGGTTATTAAATTCCTCTCATTCCCTGGGTTCCTGAGGCAGTTTGGGAGAGGCAGGTTACTCTCATCCTGCCATCCTGTCATTACTGTCTACTGGTGTATAACCTCACCAAACAAAGAGAACTCTAGAAGCTGGACTGGATTTTACTCAAAATCCCAATGCACGCAGGAACAAAAGCCTCCAGCCGAGTCCGTGAGCTTCAGAAGCCACAGCTGCACATTCACCTTTGAAAGTATCTCAAATGGAAGAACCGCAAATATCACCAAGGGAAAAGTGGAAATTAAACTTTAACAAGTTCTAAGAAAATGTGAGCATTAATGAGAATCAGGACAACCTCTTTTTCTTATAAGGTCAACAGAGTTACTCTGTTATCCAGTCGGCAGCTCTTATATGGCTCTTAACTTGAAATCAGAGGCAATGGATGAGCAGACCGTCTGCTCTCATGGGCTGAAAACAGCCTCCACTACCCTTTCCTCAAAATGATGTCCAAGTGCCTAAGAGGCCTTCCAAGAGCACATGGCTGATATTCATGACTGACAACCCCAAAGTAGGCTGCACAGGGCAGTGACATAAGTATAGCTGACAGATATACATGGGGGCTGGAATCTCACTCTGTTCCTCATCAACAGTGTAGCCAAACAGCTTGGCAGCAGAAAGCTCCTAGCAGGCTAATGGAGAGGGTGCTGTTCCCCCCAACATCCCCCACCTCTCCCTTAGCAGGGTAAGAGAATTAAAAATAAAACTGCATGAGAATCTGGGCCATAGAAGCAAACACACTTGCCTGGACCTGTTCTCCTGTATTGAAAGCAAGAAGGTAAGACTCTTCAGTGGAAGATTCATAACCACAGAACTTAAAAAGAGAAGCTTTGGGGCTGGAGAGACAGTACAGCTGCAAGTGTGCTTGCCTTGCATGTGGCCAACCAGGGTTCAATCCTGAGGCAACCGTTACCCAAGCACCACCAGGAGTTGATCCCTGAGTGCAGAGCCAGGAGGAAGCCCTAAGTGCTGCTGGGCGTTGACGTTTTATGCCAGGAAACAGGGGCAGCACATCAAACTCCTGAAGGCACCCTTCGCGCTCTCTGTGGCATAAAAAGGAACACAACTGAAACAGTGCCACCCTGGAGCCAGGTGTGCCTGCTTCTAATGTCAAGATGCCTCAGATCACTTTCAAGGGCCAGTCTCTTGCATTAGATTAGAATCTGCAAAATATACAACTACCGATCGTGTCACAAGTCTGCCCTCCCCAGAAATCAACTCACTTTTGATTATGAACAGCACCTTCAGTTACTATTTCTTAATCCAAGTACACAGAAGACAACCTCTCACTGAAAGTTTACCACAAAGCACGTGGTATCAGAACAAGAGGGCCTTCAATGCTCCCTGCACTTTGCAACACCAAGGCTGTGCCAAACACTTTCCAGGCATCAGCTAATTTCCTCTCTCAACATCTTTCGGTAGCAGCTACTATTATTATTATCATCCCTGTTATTAGTCACTCTTGGAAACATCACTTAAGAAACAGTACTCTGCAGACCTTTCTCCAGTCTGTTTTCTCGATTGCTGAAGAGAACTTAAAGAGCCAAGTTTGGTCAATGTAATATTTTTTGTTGTTGCTGTTGTTGCCATGTGGTCAGAGACGCTTCCTGTGACAGTAAAACCCCGGGCAGAAGCCTCGGCAAGTGAAGGGCCTATCTGGTGAGAAGGACCTCTCTGCTTCCAAGCCGGAAGCTCACACTCTCACCTGACCGTAAGCAGGAACCCCTACATACGCATACATGTGAGAAAGCAATGCGCACCCAGGGGGAACGGGGCTGCCACTCGGGCTTGCTACTTACCAGCTCTGTGTGAACTTTAAGATGTGCCTGCAGCTTATATTTATCTGGAGTCGAGTAGTCACAGCCGTCAGTGGGACACTTCAGCAAGATGTTACTGTGTTTCTGAATTACATGGCGTTTAAGGCAGTTTTTGGTGATGGAAGAATAATGACACTGGGAGCAATAATACAGATGTTCCCGGGTGTGGGTGCGGACATGCATATCAAAATGCACTTGGTACCAAAAAAGTTTGCCTAAAAGAATATTTTCACATGAGAACAAAGAAGGTTTTTTTTTATATACTGATTTTGATTTAGTAGTAGTAGTAGTAGTAGTAGTAGTAGTAGTAGTAGTAGTAGTATTACTATTCTTTCATGACTACATTTATCTCCCTCTTGTGCCAGTCCAGGTCACCTTTTACACTTTCCACTACATTTCTGTCTGGAAGTTACTTTTCAAAGGTGGCAACTCTTAAGGGTGCTATAATTTTTGCGTGATGTTAGAGCTAGGAGAGGAGGAAACAAGTGTTTATTGAGGAGCAATTACCATGTCACATACTATTATGCACATGCATAAATCAGAGTCTCTAAATTCTACTGACAGCTGGTACACCTAGTCCCGCGCCAGCTCTCCGAGAGAGTCAGAGGCTACGTGGCACTGCAAGCTGCAAAGTTCTATCCAGGGCCTCCCTACAGAGGCCTCAGTCACATACGGAACCCCTCTGTTCCTCTAGAACACGGCCACAGTCTACACCTCTACTTTAAACTTGTCATGGGCCAAAAGAAAGACTGTTCTTGGTTAACAGTTCTGGCAGAGGATCTTTGGGATAAGCCTCTGTGTTCATGCCTGACCAAACCACCACGGGTAACTGTCCGGCCATCTTGGTGCCTTCACAAAGACTGCGAGTGCTAACGTGCAACACGGTGGCCGCCTACTGCTATCTACCGATGAGGAGAGATAGCACATCTGGGAGATGTCCTTGGCAATGGGGTATGAGCTCAAATCAAATATGAGGGTGGGAATGGAAGGGGCTGCTGGGAATGAGAGCTCCAACCAGCGGCACCCCAGAGCTGCCCTCCTTACCACAGTATTCACACTCCAGGTCTCCGTACACCTTCCGGATCCTCTCGCACAAGCCAGTGTTCATTTGCCTCTTCTGTAAGCCATCCAGAATCTTCATGAATGCGCTGATGCCAGGTCGGTGCTCAACAGCAGTGGGGGTACAAGAGTCAGGCTGGCTTGTGGCCACATCCCTATCACTGGCCACGGGAAGGTCAGCGGTCCCCTCCTGGTCTGGCCTGAGGCAGGTACTGGGATCGGGGGCATCGGACAGGAGGGTGGTCACTTTCGGTGCTTCCTCTGGAGGGTCCTCGGCACCCTGGGTCTCTGGATTTGCTGCCTCACTTTTGACCTTGGGCAGCAGCAGTGTCACTTCATCGCCCTGGGCCGGGGGGATGCCCCCTCCAGAGGGCTCCAAGGTCCCATCGGGAGCACTGTGAGCCTCAGCACAGAGCACGTTGGTTTTCAACAGAAACTCATCTGAAACAACGACTGGCGAGGGAAGAGCCGGGGAGGGCACTGTGGCTTCCAGGTCGCAGGGAGGCAGGATGGCGCTTTCCACCTGGGTCGTGGCTAGCTGCCCAAGTGGGGCAGGCACATCCACGGGGGCATCAGGCTCCTTGGGTCCCTCCTCAGGGCGGGCATCCTCCCCAGGGCAGGCAGCCTCCTTGGGGGCATTGACCCCCTGGAACACAAATTCCTCTTCCGCCAGCTGCAGCTGGCCCCCCAAGGCTTCCTGCTGGATATCCCCTCCAGGCTCCAGGAGGCAGAAGCTCTGGTTGATGGAGCTGGTGAAGACCAGCTGCTCCTGGGCCGCCCCGTGCGCCTCCTTGATGTGCGCACGCAGCCGGATGGAGCTGACGAACTTCTTGAGGCAGATGGCGCAGACGTACACGAAAGGGTGCTTCCGGACGTGGAGCTCCAGGGCCTGGTACTTGGTGGCCCCGTGACCACAGAGCTCGCAAGCGAAGGGCCACTTATCACCGTGGACCAGCATGTGGCGGTCCCGGTCCAGCTCATTCTTGAACTTGCGCTCGCAGATGTGGCAGTCGTAGAGCAGCTGCCGCTTGCCCTCCCGGGTCATCAGACACAGCTCGTCCAGGGCCTCCTGGACCTTCTTGTCCTGCGGGTCGTGGGCATCGCGGATGTGCTTGATGAGGTTCTTGACGTCCGAGTACTTCTTCTTGCAGAAGCGGCAGTGCTGCTTGATCTTCTTGTGTACCCGCTCAATGTGCACCTTGAGGTGGCCTTTACTCAGGCAGGTGAAGGCGCAGTAGTCGCAGGCGAACTTCTCGCCCGTGTGCTTACGCAGGTGCACATTGAGGTTGGCCTTGATGGCGCTGGCGTAGCTGCACTGGGAGCACTTGTAGGGCTTCTCGTTGGTGTGGATCCGCAGGTGGGCCTGCAGTGAGTGCTTGAACTTGAAGACCTTGTTGCAGTATTCGCAAGTGAAGATCTTCAGCTGGGTGGGACCGAGCCTAGAAACAGATGACAGAACCGTTACATTTGAAGACTGCACCTTCAAAGGACCTCCAGGAACCTCCAGTTTCTTCTGATGGAATCAAACATCAAAGGCTTAAGAAGCCCACTAATGGGGACTGATGATGGCTGCTGTCATTCCTCAATAAATAGGGCTGTGAGACCAGCACAAAGATGGAAGACTAGGCCCCCATTCAATACGAGCCCCTCACCTAAGAGGGGAGAGGATGGATGAAGAGCTGCACCACAGTTGGGTAAGTGCTGAAGGGACATGGTAGGATGAAGGGACTAGAGAGATCTAATCTAGATTAAGGTATTAATCTAGAAACTGCTCAAGAGATGTCTGAGTTAAAATCTGCAAAACAAGTAAGAAGAAAGCATGGAAAGAAGGGAGGGAAAAAGGACATACTGTTTCTGATATCACCAATAAGGAAATACCTTGCAGTATTTCCAAGCTGACCTGCAGGTACTTTGGAGTATTTCAGTCTGAAATGAACTCCGTCTGCTCTATGAGTCGAGACACAGCCTGCTTGGATTTGTTCAATAGCATGAATCCAGACTTGCACTTCCATTCAACCAGCTGTTGGGGGTGGTATACACTCCCTTTACTGCAAATTTCCATGTGAGAGGCAGCTATGTGGGAAAGATTCCAACACCTTCTCTGGTCCCCACTTTTTCGTAGGAAGAGTAAACTCATGTGGATAAGTTTGGAAAATGACCTAGTTTTTTTTGTTTTGTTTTTTTGTTTTGTTTTAAGTTACTTTGTTGCTGAATTGCTGATTGCTTAAAATTTTAAGAACTAAGTTTAATTTTGATAGAAATTTTCCCAGTTAAAAATCATGGATTACTTAAATCTGTATAGTAGCACTTGGAAAATGGTAAAATTTTTTAAAATGGAAATTTATGTTTCATGACCTAGTTTTATGAGTTGCTCTCTGCCCCTCTCCTTCTGCTAAGGATCTATCTGCCTATGGCCACAAGTGATGCGACTCATGCTAAAAGAGGTGTGCATCTGGGGTCCTTGCCCCGTAATGGGCAAGAACTTTGGGGTGGGCATGCCAGCTGTCTCTGTGTTGCCTTAGTGGGAAACTCAGCACTGACTCACACCATACTATTTCCTCCCACACTCCTCTCCATAGTAGAGCTGACGTTCAACTTTCCATCTTCCCTCCTCATCTATTATGGTTGGCTTAGCACTCACACAGGCAATATAAAATTGCAGTCCAATCGGCATTTGTTAACTTGCACATTGTTTACTAACAAATCATTCATTGGTTATTTGTTAAAGTGTTCATGTGTTTCAGGCACTGTGTGAGATTTTGTACATGTGATGGCTGGCAAAGGAATGATCTGACTAACAGATTCTTTCTCTTAATTATGGCAATAGTTGTCTTGAATAGATGTCAGAAATAGTAGTAGCTATTACTGAGTACTTAATGTATATGAAACCCTATTCTAAGTGCTAAGTTATTAAATACCAAATTTATTATTATAATGATAATTTGACAAATTAAAAAAAAATAAGCACAAAGTCTCTACCTAATATCATGAAGTTTCTAAGTAATGAAATCAAGATTTGAACCCAAGCAGACTGCCTGCCACTAGAACCTGCACATTGTTCCATATCTTCTGTACTACCTGGAAACCCTGTATACCAACCCCTCCCCAGTGCAGCTGGACATATGGACACAGCCCCGGCATGGGGCTCCCAGGGACAGGAACTGGTGATAAGCCAAAAAAGAAAGTGAGGTTTTTTTTTTCTTGTCAACAGCGCTCTCTCTAGAGGGTGAATCCAGATTATCCACAAAGTGCCTCAGAAACACTGAAGTCTCCAACTACTACTGTATTGCTGTCAATATCTTCCTTCAGGATAGCCCATCATTAAACGGATAAAAGGTAAGAAGTGTGAGTTCCTCATGATATGTGTGTATGAGTTCCTCATGATATGTGTGTGTGATATGTGTGTATGTATACATATACATATATATGTATTCCACATATATATATATATATATATATATATATATATATATACTGCACTGTACTGTCCTCCCATTGTTTATCAATTTGCTCGAGCAGGCACCAGTAATGTCTCCATTGTGAGACTTGTTACTACTGTTTTTGGCATATCAAATATGCCACAGGGAGCTTGCCAGGCTCTGCCCTGCAGGCGGATGTACATATACAAATACTTTTTTTGACTTGAAGTCTTATGTTGTGTGATATGTCAGATTTCTTTAAGGGAATTGTTTGCTAGAAATCAATATTCCAGAATTTGACTTTGAGCTGGTATTTGCCTTGACTGTTCAAATATGTTTCCAGCATGCAGCAAAAAGTTGGATTCAGTTTTTGAATCCACCCAGTCACTCTGTGTCTCCTCATTGATGAGTTTAATTAGGCCATTGACATAGCGTGAGATTAAATGAAATGAAGGCGTTTTTTTGCCATTATTCGGTAGAAGTTATATGTGTTTGTGGAGTTTCCTTGTCTTAAAAAATCCCCTTCAATGTTCTTGCAAAATCGACTTCAAGGTTACGAAGTTCCAGACCTAAGAAACATTGAAAACCTGTCCTGCTATTAATCAGGTTTCATCAAGTAGTAACCACTACTGCTGGAAACTCTAGCTGTAGAACTATCCATATAGCTGTTTGGCCAATACTGACTGCCCTATCTTTAAAATAAAAATTTCTAAATTATTGTGGCACATAGACATCAGAGACTACAATTCGCAGGATGTAATTAAACTAGTCTTATATAAAAATTACTAGTATGCTTAATTGCTAAACCTAAAGTAATTTAATGAGATTAATTTGGATCTTTCTCAAATGACAGAGATATCCAGAAGCAGCACATTTTATTGGTACAAAGAACATGGAAGGACGAAACCCTAGATTTTTGTAAACAACCAGGAAACCATATTTTTTACCTCGATGCAAAATCTAAATGATCTTAGAAGAATCTTTTGCTCTGACTTTTTCTATTTGTTTTATAAGACAAGTACCTATTAAATCCTTGGTTCCCAGTCTCCTTCTGAGGGTAATGGACCTGATAAAGATGCTAACCTGCCTATATCTGGCTCTCTGGACTAACTCATACTCTAAGACTAAGAGCTGAAATACATAGTGGCAATGCCTACATGATTCCATGCTTAACTCTATTTGTTGAAGGACACCCTCACCCAACTCCACACTAGAAAACAATCAAACAGGAGCATAAATGGTCAGTCCCTGGATCCAGTCTCGTTCTGGGAATACCACATGCAGAAGGTGGAAGCAAGACAGTACAGAGAGCAAGGTAAGCACTGTATCTGTAGCACTCTCTCTCCAGCTCCTGGAATTTCAAAATTTTGTGTCTAAATCTGCCTCACAACTTTGGAAGAATCTAACTGGTAGAAGTTAACTAAAGTTTGTGCTATATGTAACAAAGTAAAATCCTCATTAAAAAGTTTCTTTCATAGCTGCACTATCCTACACTGTCCTCCCGTTGTTCATCGATTTTGCTCGAGCAGGCCCAGTAGCGTCTCCATTGTGAGACTTCTTGTTACTGTGTTTGGCATATTGAATACTCTCGGTAGCTTGCCAGGCTCTCCGAGAGGGACGGAGGAATCGAACCCGGCTCGGCCAGGCTGACTGCGTGCAAGGCAAACGCCCTACCGCTGTCCAAATTTATATTACAAAAATGTTAATAATGGATGACAACATGAATACATCCCAGATATATTGATAAAGTCTTAAGTTTATTTACCTATAATCAGATTAGCATCTAGCAAACCTTTCTCCCTAAAAGATTTTTAAATACTATTAATTCAGGTCTTTAAATGAATGTGAGAGCAAAGTAATCTTCAAATTTAATTCTATTATAGTTTTGCAAGTGGAATGCATGTTTTCAGAACCTCATCAACAAAGTCATTCACATTTGCAAGAACAGAAGAATGAAGTTTCAATTTTATCATGAATTCCACATGATATCAGGTTATAACTGAGTAAGAATACAACATGTGCCTGGAACTTTTCATGTTTATTATTTTTTAATGATTTATTCACATAACTGGATTCAAGATCTAGTAGGCAAACTTATGGCTGCTGTAACTCAGACAGGCATGGAGGTAAAATAACTCAAGTCAAGTCATAGTAATGAATGTTTTTCATCTGCCATCTTCCTCTTATTCTCTCTCACCTCCCGAGTGCCTGGCACATAACAAAGAAGTACACTCTGATAAGCTGACTTCAGGGAGTCCAGAATCAAGCCCAGTCTCCCCAAGGCTAAAGACTAAGTCCCATTCAAGAACACCTCATTCCCTTTCTTCCAGAAACAAAGGAAAAGTATCAGCAACTGGTGCTTTTTTAGGCTATACTCTCAGTCAGGAAAAAATATTTCCAGAGGTCAGGTGACCAGTTTGCTCATGCATGGGAGTGAGTACGTATCACAGCTGTGAGAGAGATCATGGAGTGATCTGGAAGATGCAGGCAGGCTGCTTCACTGCCGCTGTTAAATAGATCCTCAGAATTTGGAAGAGTTTTTATTTTTTTAATTTAGGAATCATGATTTAGAATTCTGTTGATAATGATAAGGTTTCGTGCAAACAATGTTCCAACTCCATACTCTAGAGGAGAATCATTAATGTTGAGTCAATCTTGGGGCACCCATTTCCTTCAAGACAGTAATTTCAATCCGGAAATTAATTCCACAGGAAGTCTTAAAGAATTATGGGAAGATATGAGTAAAAAAAACTTAAGCCCAACATAGTCCAGGAAGCAGAAGCTGGCTACATAAAGTGTAACACACCCATAAAAAAGCAAACATAATTTTTTTAAACTATAAAGAAAGAAGTCCATGATATGGCAGGCTTCAAAAAATTGAAAACAGTGTATTTGAGATCTGGCATTAGAAAAAAATAACAAAATTTAAAGCAATATATGTTGGTATAACACTAAAAATATAGCACTGTAGCACTGTCTTCCCATTGTTCACCGATTTTGCTCAAGTGGGTACCAGTAACGTCTCACAATTGTGAGACTTGTTACTGTTTTTTGGCATATGAATACATCACGGGTAGCTTGCCAATGAACCAAACTGGTAATACCAGTTAGAGGATGAATTATGGTTTTCTTTAATTCTCCATTCTATGGGATATTTAAACATCCTATAAGATGCCTGTGTTGCTTTTTAAAGTGAGAAGCAAATTGAAGACTGCTTTTAATTATGTGTACAGCTATAAAAATAAGCAAATTATCTAGTGAACCCTTATTTAAACTTCTCTTTATTAAGATTTAATATATGCTTGTTTATCTTAAATAAAATATAACACCTTCATTAAGCCAGCTGGTGCTCAATTCTAAAAGCACGCTCTCACCCAGAACACACTACACAAATAGATGCTTTACCTGCTTGACTTCATTGGCTGTTCATATGGTGTTTGCTGAATGGCATATTCCTGGTACCCTCTTCGAGGTGCCACATCGGCTGTGGTGGTCTCAGGGTTTACTGCTCCCGTTTCTGGGGGCCCAGCCTCCACTGGAACAATCTTGGTAGCACCTGAAGGAGAGGCAGATAGAATTAAAGAGGTATTTAAGGATCCCTCAATCTTTCCCTATGCAGACTGCATGCCTGAAAAAACTATATTTCTTCCTGGTAGGACAGGGCTTCTTAAACTAATTCCACTAATGATTCATTTTGCCCAAGTAATGCAACATAGTCAAGTGTTGCCAGAAACTCTCAAAATCATTACACAGGTGATTTTCTTTTTTTTAAAAAAAAAAATTTATTAGTGAAACATCATGAGTTGTAGACTTACAAATTTTTGTGCTTGGGTTTCAGTTATACAATGATCGAGTACCCATCTCTACACCAGTGCCCATTCTCCACCACCAATGATCCCAGTAGCCTTCCCACCTCCCCCACCCTCCTACCCCACCCTGCCTCTGTGGCAGGGCATTCCCTTTTGTTCTCTCTCTCCTTTTGGGTGCTGTGGTTTGCAAGAGAGGCATTGAATAGTGAGCTGCCTTTTCCCCTAGCATGTGCGGCTGGCCTCCAAGTCATGGAGTGAACCTCAACACAGGTGATTTTCAATTAAAGGAGCGATAGCACAGCGGTAGGGCGTTTGCCTTGCATGCAGCCAACATGGCCGACCCGAGTTCGATTCCTCCACCCCTCTAGGAGAGCCCGGCAAGCTACCGAGAGTATCTCGCCCGCACAGCAGAGCCTGGCAAGCTCCCTGTGACGTATTCGATATGCCAAACACAGTAACAACAAAGTCTCCAATGGAGACGTTACTGGGCCCGCTCGAGCAAATCAATGATCAACGGGAGGGCCTTTACTTTACTTTACTTTACTAGGGACAAAGCTCCGCAGTAGAGAGTTCTTGCTTTCAATGTTTAAGGTCCTAGTTTTAAGGCCCAGTACTGAAATAAAACCCTGCCATTATTTTTTTTGGGGGGGTAACACCCAAAAACGTTCAGGACTTACTCCTGGCTCTATGCTCAGGAGTCACTCCTAGGGACACTTGGAGGACCATATGGGTGCTAGGGATCGAGCGCAGGTCAGCCATGTGCAAGGCAAACAACCTATACGTAGTACTATTGTCCAGCCCCCAAACCTGCCAATTTAATTAAAAATTTTGTTGGGATGTTCTGGGTCCTGATGTAAATATACACACATTCAGTAACCTCCTCTGCCTTCAAATAGTTTAGGTCATTGTGTATTCAGAAGCCTTCTACTGTGCCAAATTTTTCATATTTAACTATATCAGCCCAAATGAGGTCATGAGACCCACAGTTAACTCTGTATTTGTATAACTGGTAGAAAAGAGCAAGGTTTATATCAATATGTAAAAATATAGTTCTGAGAAACATTTTCACTTGATCTTTCTTATATTTTTAAAACATATATAGGAAGTGGGCAGGGGCAATAGTACAGCAGGCAAGGCACTTGTTTTGCATGTGGCTCACCTCGGTTCTATCCCCATGACTCTTTTTGTGGTCCTCAGAGCCTGCCAAGAGTGAGCTCTGAGCACAGAGCCAGGAGTAAGTCCTGAGCACCACCAGTTGTGGTCTCCAAACAAACAAACACATATATAGGGGGTCTAAGAATGTGGTAGAATGTCTATCTTGCAGGCATGAGGTTGCAACACCATCTACATTGTTGAGTGGGATCCCAGTGACACTGCTATTGCAAGCTTCTGTACTTCAACAAGTGTATTTCATCAGGCTCACGAAAACCAGGAAAGCAAACACCATTATTTTGGAGACTGCAACAAGGGAACAATAAAGGGAGCGGAAGGGAAAATATGCATGTATAAAGGTGAGAAAAACAGAAACAAAGACAGAGAAAGAGATAAAAGGGAAGGAAGGAAGAAAGGAAGGAAGAAAGGGAGGGAGGGAGGGAGGGAGGGAGGGAGGAAGGAAGGAAGGAAGGAAGGAAGGAAGGAAGGAAGGAAGGAAGGAAGGAAGTTTGCAAGATTTTATACAGGACCACGTTTTAAACTTTTAAATAAATGTGAAACTGAATCAGACAGAATGGAATAGTAAAATTAACTGTTAGCAGGAAGTTAAGTGAGCTGGGCTCATTCTCAAGAGAGATATTACCTTATGTCTTCAGTTTCCACCCTTAAAAAAAAAAAAGAAAGATTGGGAGCAAAACACTCAGAGATCTCAGAGATGTCATCTACACTTTTGCCAACTCTATGAGGTAAGTCATCAAGATTTTTTACAACCATAGAAATTTTACATGGATGTGTGGATATGTATATATGTATATGAGAATAAGCACATGTACGTAAAAAGTGCATTAAAGAAATGGTGCCTTGTTTCTGGAATAGCAAAATAAATCAACTAACTTTTACCTCTACTTACAGAAATTTCAAAATGAGAAATTTTTAAGAAATTATTGCAGGAGCTTTTTCCTAGATATGGCTGAGAATGTGAATCTCTGTCCTGAGGTTTTCATTTCCCAGAATAATACTTTTCTGAATTAAGGTAGGGCAGACAAAGTAGTTTTGTAGAAAGTTCTTCAGTTATATAACTGTATGTACCTACTCTCTACTGATCATCATGCTTTGCACTGGAGTATAAAAAGGCATGTATTCGTTATTTTTATTTTAAATAATGAGTCACAGTTCTTGAAATCTTAAGCTTGCTTTTTACTTTTTTTGACAATCATCCTGAAAATAGAGGAGGAAAACCTGATTCTATGTTGAAATCTACTATCATAAACTTCTTCTTTGTCTTAAGTGTCCCTTCTTGGATTTTTGGGGGGCGGAGGGGGGGCTATTTCTAAGGGAGCCATACCCAATACTTGATTATAGGGATGGGGGGGATTTGGAAGTATCCTACAGTGAATTTCAAAGGATCAAACTCTGGGCTTCCTATATGCCTTGCATATGCTCTACCACTTGAGCCACAGTCCATGTCCCAAGATACATTTCCTTAAAAAAGATGAAAGATATCTTCCTTTTAAAAGGATAGAGCCAGAGAGATAGTACAGTGGGTAGGGTGTTTGCATCTGTACCCCATATGGTCCGGAGAGCACTGGCACGATTGATTCCTAAGTGCAGGGCCAGGAGCAAGCCCTGAACACCTCCAAGCATGATCCAAAACAAAGTGTACTATACCCTTGATCTATTTTATATGGATAGAAAACAATATGGAAACCTCCAGTCTTTATATAATAACCAATGAGCCCTCTTACAGATGCAGATAAGATGAGGATCAGGAGTCCAACATGAGAAAGGGTTCTGGAGAGGCAGCCCATGTCAGTCCTATCCTCAGTCCTAACCGTGTCAGCATAACCCAAGTGAGCTGGGGAGAAGCGTGGGTGGAGCATCCACGGTAAAGTCGGGAAAGGTCAGGTGAGGGGATCCAAGAGGGGCAGCACCGTCTTTGGGTCCCTCATTTCCTCGACGGCTGCCAGAACATGAGCGGCGCTGGTGCAGACTGAGTGGCCCTCACATTGTGTGTGTGTGCCGTCAACAGTTTCAGAAAGCTCCGCCACTTTCAGAGGTCTGCCACTTTCCCAAATGACTGGACCATCACAGACAGAGGTCAATAGTGAGCCAGCTCTCGGGCTCTCAGGGTCTAAGCTGCCCCGGAACACAGATAGCACGCCACGATTCCTGTCCATCACCCCCTACTGTTATGGTCACCTGGAATGGCTTCGTGTGCGGTTAAAACCACACTTATAATGGGTTTCTTTGCCCCAGCGGTTGGTCCGGACTCCTTTCCTGAGGACATCTTTTGCACTTTCTCTGTTTTCTGTGTCCGGGGTCTCTTCGAGGCCTTTTCTCGGTCATCTTCTTTATACCTTTTATCCAGTTCAAGGTCAGAGTCATTACCTAAGGAACAAATATCAAGATGACACTGTTAAAGCAGGTAATAGATCATAACCCTTTTATGGGTATGAAAGAAAATATATACATTTATATGTGATAAATATATTGTTCTACAATGCTATGCTGGCCACGCTCTCAGTTGAGACACCATCTTTGGCACATCAGTCTTCCATGGAATTCAATCAATATCAACCACACTGCTGCCACAGGCTCCCATCAAGGCCCTGGCAGCACATGTTGCTGACAAAGATGCCAGAGTCCTTTGCTTTACTTACAAAAAGCGTAGCAAAATTTAGTCATTATAAACAACACTGCAGAGAAGATATGGTAGCCAAGAATGATGTTTAAGAAATACACCCTTATTCATTTTACATTTATTAGCTTTTCTCTATGCGTCACGAATAGTGGATATGAAACCAATAAGGCCAGGGACAGAACAATAGCTCACTTCATGGCTCAACTTGGCATTAGCATAAAGAGTAAGAAAAAACTTCACTCTAAAGAATAATAAATTATTTGATAATTAAAGAGGTGGGAGAGATAGTACATATACATGAAGCTTGCCTTGCACGTGGTCAACCCTAGTTTGATAACTAGCACTGCATAGAGTCCCCTAAGTACATAGCAAGGAGTAAATCTTGAGCACTTCTGCATGTGCACCTCAAATAAAAGTGAAGAATAAAGGAACTCGAACTTCATGATTGCATGTTATTCCGGATTCCTAAATGAGAAGGAAAGAAAGGAAAGAAAAGGCATGAATTACCTATTTCTTAGAGTCACAGCCACAAAACCTGAAATAACCTGGAACAAATCACTTTTCAAAATTTTAGAACAAGTAGAAAAATCCCATATGTTCCTTCAACAGAGGTAAGTACTGGTGGATGGATGGTTGTAAAAACTGGCGCAGGCAGGCAAATGGTAGGTCATTGGAAAGTGCTAAAATCTGGGGTTATAGAAAGGTGAAATAGGGCAGGGGGTGGAAAAATGAAAAGCAAAACCCCCTAAAACAAAGAGGGCCTGAAGCAACTCAGTAAACCTGTGTTTTCTAGAAAATGCCCTTCTAACTCCAGCCTGACCCACGCATAAAGATACCAAGAGGCTTGGAGGAAAAGGATCTATGGAGAAGTGTCTTCAGGGATGCATGCTGGCTAAAGGAATGCTTTCTCAAAAGAAGACAAAGAAAAAACCTGACTAATAGAGCAGCCTCCTGCCCCCGCCCTGGCTGTCCTCCCCGGGGCCCCTTGGAGAGGAGCGGGTTGAGCTTTCTTCCCCGCCCCGACCAGGGCTCCGGCAGCCGAAGACCTCCAGGACCAGCCACCACCATGCTCAGACCACTCTCCGCATACCTGAAGGTACCACCCAGATCCTCCGAATTCCAGTGGGGGGGGGGGCGTCACACCCACCAACTTGCCCCCTGGCGCTGTGTAATCCCATCAGTGGCCAAGACTCAGAGACTAGAAAAAACAGCTCCAGGACATCTTATTATGACATCTTATTATCTCATTCCTACTTTGGACAAACTGGCAGGCTACCGAATGTAGCCTGCCCACATGGCAGAGTCTGGCAAACTCCCCATGGCGTACCCAATATGCCAAATACCAGTAACAATGATGGGTCTCATTCTCCTAAAGAGCCTTGAATATAATCTCAGGGCTAGGATGAAGGAGACGTTACGGGGGCTGCTCGAGGCAATCGACGAATAACAGGATGGTCGTGATTCGTCGTGATTCGTGAATAGAGCAGACAGATGCAAACAAAAATCTCTCTCTTAGTTCTGTAAATGGAAGTTCTTAGAGGCTAATCTCCATAATTCAAAGTGCTTTGGAATATTTTCGAGTTCGCAGAAACAAGTCTTACAGAATTTTTTATTGATTACCAAAGATCCTCAGTCACATAATTAATGCCAGCACTGAACAAGTTAACATTAAACAGAAAAGAAATCTTAGTAGGGGCTGGAGCGACAGTACAACGGAGCAGGCAGGATGCTTGCCTTGCACACAGCCGACCAGGGTTTGGTCCTCAGCATCCCATATTGTCCCCTGAGCACCGTCAGGAGTGCCTGAATGCAGAGCCAGGAGTAAACCCTGAGCATCACCATATACCCAAAAAACAAAAAACAAACAAACAAAAAAAAAACTTAGTAGGTTAAACTGTGAACATAACTGATGTGTATGTGATTCTTCAAGACCAGGGGGAGGAGTCAAAAACCATTATATACCTATCCTTAAAAACCATGAGTCAGAAAAGGAGCTCAAAGGATTGCAGAATGTGTTCTGCATTAACATCAGGAGGTTAAGGTTAATCCCCAGCACCATACATGGTGTCCTGAGCACCACCACAAGCAACCCCAAGCAACAAGCAGGGAAGAGCCCCCAAGCACCTCTGCTAAAAAGGACCAAGTAAATAAATCTCTTAAGGTTATTGACTTGTCTATGTTCTAGATAGTGTTTGATTTACATCATGATAGAGGGGAAGGCAAACACTTGTTATTTTATTTTTCAGTGGCTATAATAAAAACATTTTAAAAAATCTGAAGACTTCCTGAGTCACAAAAGATCTTTACATCACACACATATCGGGAGATATGCATGCATAAACAAACAATATATTGGATAAAGAGGCTGAAACAACTACCACATCCTGGGATTCTGGGTGTGTGTGTGTGTGCTTGTACTTTAAAACAATATTCACTTTACAAAACAATTCACCAGGGATATAATTCAATATATGGGGATACAGCAGGAATAGGTATGTTTATATAAACACAATTAAAAACATCAGAGAGGTTCTATTTAGGCTGTTTTATACATCATACATTAAATATATACCTCATACATGAAATGCGGGCTAGAGTGATAGCACAGTGGTAGGGCGTTTGCCTTGCAAGCAGCCAACATGACCGACCCAAGTTCGATTCCTCCGCTCCTCTCAGAGAGCCCAGCAAGCTACCGAGAGTATCTCGCCCGCACGGCAGAGCCTGGCAAGCTACCCGTGATGTATTCGATATGCCAAGCACAGTAACAACAAAGTCTCCAATGGACACGTTACTGGGCACACTCGAGCAAATCAATGAACAACGGGAGGACAGTGACAGTGACATGAAATGCAAAACTGGGTGTAAAGGGAGACTGGATAAGAATCTCATCTCTCCACCCCCACTCCTGCCCCTGCCTAATTATCACAACAACTCCTAATCCTGCTTCTACCTCAAGCCAGCCTACCCATACTTGATGCCAGGCTGCCTTGGGACAATGTCTTCTCACCAAAGGAGTGAGATGCTCTGCCAGCCACACTAGCAGCCAGGGCTACTATAACTTGGTTTAGCCAACAGGCCTGGGGAAAATGTGGGTGTCTGAGAACAATTTTCCTTCCAAAGAGTGAAAATAAATGTTCTTCAGCTCAGCATTTCCGAGTCTACTGTGGGAACTGACGCATTAATAAGCAAGCATGAGAGGTTAAGATCAGGTAAACATCATATGGGTCATGTAGAGAAAGATGGATCCTGGGTCTGTGGCGGAAATGCTCTGCTACTGACCCATCACCCCACAGCCCTCCCCCTGAAATGGGCAGTCTGATTATCAAATGTATTTTTATTGAGGTACTGGGATTTACAACATTCCTACTTACACTTTTCATGCATACATCATTCCTACACCACATCCATCACCAGGGTGCCCACTTCCCAACACCTGTGTCCCAAGGGCCCTTCCCACCCACCCACATCCACTCTAAGTTCAATTCTATAGACAAAATCTTCAGTTCTGCTTTCTTTCCCCATTGATTGTTCCCTTGCTATGTGTTTCAATTTTATCTCAGATTTGGGATGTCTCTTTATTTGTGGAGGTGGTGACACTTAGACACATAGGTGAATAGAGTTAAACTCCTGAAATTCCACAAAATTTAAATCAAAGTAAATTAAGAAGTAAAAAAGACTATTTTCCAAAATCTACCTTTTCTTTACAGGCACATAAACCTTGTATTTGTAGGATTTATCTATTTCATGAAAATCTTAAAATGTAATAGCACAGTATTATCATCCCAACCACAAGAACTCGATCTAGGCCAACACTCTCTCCACAGCATTCTCCTTCTTGATCTTAGTTAGCATGATTGGATTTTAAATTCAAATCCAACTCTGCACTCCCTGCTTAGAACCATTAACAGTTTCCCTTATGATAACATGCTAGACAAGGACATGCCACATACCACTTCTCTAACCCCTCAAAACTAGGACTCCCAGGTTTATTATACTCATAGATTTTTCTTTTCTTTCTTTTTTTCTTTATCTTTTTTCCTTTTTTTAAAAGATTATTTTATTGAATCCCTGTGAGATAGATCTTTACAAAGCTGTTCATTAGCAGAGACTATTCTGTTGACCTCTTTGATTCTGATACCACAAGCCAACTGACCATCCCAGAGTGTCCATCTCCTGAACTTGCACATAGGCCCATATAATATGCAACAATCCAATCCACATCCCTGCTGTCCAAATGAGAAAATAAAAGGAGAGTTCACAACCACATCCACATAACCCAATATATCACCATGTTGACGATGGCACTTCCCAGTGTTTTACAATGATCTCTTTAGATGCCTCTATCTGCTTATTACCTGTACTGTGACCGTCTTGAGTCTGTATCTGTCTCTTATTTTACTGAGCCTAATATAGATCTGTGCAGGTGATAAGGGTGATAAGCCTAGAAAACAAAAACTTCTACTCTAGTGTGTTTTTGGCACCAAAAGCCAATGGATATAAATGAATAACTGATTCCAGCTTGAAGAAATTTATTTCCAACAGTGAGTGCTGTTCTGACAAGGGATGAGTAATTTTTAGAGATGATTTCCTGAGGAGTTTGTGCGGAAGGCTTCAAATAACATGTGTGTGTTGTGAAAATGACTCTGAACCATATCAAAGCGAGTTACAGTTAGCTAGACAGTTCTGAAGCCCTTGAAAGTTCTAAGAAGCTTACCTACTGGGAGATGGAGCTGGAGCTACTACTTCA